TTCACCCTGAGTCATAAGGAAAAGGGGATGGCGTATTCTCTTAGCTACTTCCTGCTGAAAAGGGACGCTGTGGGTTTCAGGGTGATGTTTCGTTAATTTCTTGATGTAGAAAAATGAGCTGTCTTAGTAGTGCATCTATTTGTTGAAAACATCTCAGTTGGTTTTCTGTACTTTCTTAGAGCCTTCTTTTTCACCAATGCCTTCAGTGCAACTTGGACATCTTCCTTCAGTATCATCAGTTCTTGATCATATGCTACTTCCTGAAATGATTGAACTTTGATTATTTCTTTTTAGTACATTGACTCAGTGTATTCCTTCCATCTTCTTTCATTGCTTCAGTATTTTGTCCTTTAAATCTTTCAGTGTTTAAACTCAAGGCTTGGAATTTTTATTTTTTTACTTCTTTCAGCTTAACAAATTCGGAGCTGTGCTTTGTTAACAAACCACTAATCACAATACCTTGATGTTTAAGATATATGTTTCCGTCATGCAAAATCCAACAGAGCATGTGAGATAACTCTTATCCATCAGACAGCTGTAATATCTGGAAGATGTAGTCTCCAAGATTTCCATGACTGGTAAAGAGGAAAAACTGAGGAGCAGGAGGGATCATATGGGAGTTTGTAGAAGGCCATGTCTGGAAGTGGTCTGCATGACTTCCATACCCATTGCATCTGCCTTAGTCACATGATCTCAATCTGACAGCAAGGGAGGCTAGAAAGATCTGGTTGGTGCTAAGAAAGTGAATGTGATACAGCAAACACGTGGCACCACCTCTGCCACACTAGGATCTAACCACAGGATGCAATGGCTTTTCAAACACTGATGGCCTGGTGGCAAAAAGCAGTGCTGCAATCCTGAAGGCACATGGTTTGAGGCCACCAGCTGCTCTGTGGGAGAAGAATGGGCAATCTCCTCCCATGTGATTAACTGCCTCTGAAAACCCGCTGGAGGGTCAGCTATGTCGGTTTCTGACTCAAAGGTACACAGCAACAACAAACAACTTATCAGAAACAGTTGCTTTTGAGTTGATTCCAACTCATGGCAGCCTCTTGAGGATCAGAATGGAACACTACCCTGTAGGATTTTCAGTGACAGAGTTTTCAGAAGCACGTTGGTCACTAAGACTGAGGCATATTAGCAATCATGTGGATAAAAAGGAGAGTCAGGAGAGAATGTGTCGTGTCCCCAAAACCATAGAGAAGAGGCTTCCAGACAGGAGAGTGTGACCAGCATGTCAAATCCTTGTCAAGGACAATGATGTCCCTGTCCTGTCACATCTGATTGAGTGACAAGGTCATTCACCACCTTGGTGAGACAATCAGGAACAGAAGCCACCACTCATTCAGTCGTTTGACTCACCCTTTGAGTCAGAACCAACCCAGATTGATCCTCCGGAGATTTCTGAGGCTGTTCATCACATGGGAGGAGATCTCCAATCTTTCTCATGTGGAGCCACAAGTGAAGTCTAACTGCGAGGGAGGCACGGCCTTTGGGTTTGTGCACATCTCTAAGGACTACCCCACCAGAGCTCCCTGGGAGCCACAGCAGAGCGGGTTAAAGAATGAAAACATTAAAGTTTAAACTATTCTCTCAGGAACCTTGGTGAGAAAAGTTTGTTAGGGGTGATCAAGGAGGGAATTTATTTTTATTTTTTTATTGTAATAGTTGATAGAAAGATTTGAGATACCATCATAACCCAGTAGCAGTGACAGAGTTTAGCAGGACAGCAAGTAATAAATGTTGGAGAGATTGTGGAGAGATAGGAACTCTTATCCATTGTTGGTGGGATTGGATTGTAAAATGGCACAGCCACTCTGGAAGGCAGTTTGATGTTTCCTCAAAAAGCTGAACGTAGAAATTCCTTATGACCCAGCTATTCCACTGCTTGGGATATACCCTAAGAAAATTAGAAGTGAGATACAAACAGAGACTTGCACACCAGTGTTCATAGCAGCGTTATTCACCATCGCAGGAGCACGGAAACAGCCCAGATGTCTGACCATATGGAATGGATTGAGAAATTATGGTACATTTACACAATGGAATACTATGCAGCATGCAGGAGCAATGATTTTTTTAAATTACTACCCAACTTTGGAGGGACTGGAGAGTATTATGCTGAGTGAACTCAGACCAATAGGGACAAATACTCTGTAAGACCGTTGTTTTAGAATGTGTACCAGGATCCAAGGTGGGAGCAGGCAGCGAAGGGGTGAGAATGGGGAATGGGGCTTCTTAATCACAGGGTTGCACAATTTGATGGGTGGAAGGAGGAGTGGGGAAAGGAAAAGGGAAATATCTACTGTGGGAAACAATATATATGAACTTTGTAAGTAAACCAATATAAAACAGGAAAGATTTGTCATGGCACTGTGTAGGAAAGAAAGAAACTAAGGACCTAGCATCCATCTTCATATCTTGGGAGGCTGTGGTATACTTGACTCAGGGGCTCTGCAGCATAGATTGGGCACTTATCTGTCCTGTATTACTAGCAGAGGGGACAATGGTTACTAGGGCACAGCCAGCCTCACAAGGACAACTTTGTGTGGCCACAACATCTGACCCCACATCATCAGAAGTGTGCAGCTAGGGCTGGATTTATGCAAAGGCCAGAGTAGGAAGATATTTTCTGAACTTTGAAAAATTAAGTCTGAAGCTTTCTACTAATTCACTTGCAGACTATCCCAGAGTGCCTGCCTTGTACAGAGACCCCTCAAGGCCTAAACTGGGCTAGGGTGTATGCAAATGAGCCAGGAACTAACCCTGATCTCTAGACACTCACACACCAGGCAGGAAGTGATTAGAGGATAGAGAATGGTCAAGAAAAACAAGCCAGTGAACAGGGCTGAGAGTGTGCTGTGCAGGACAGGCCCCAGCTGAGCTGCTATCTGTGCCTACTGTCACCCTGCGGCTCCCTCTGCCTCTCTGTGGCCTGTCTGATTGAGGTGGCTGCTGCATTCCTATATCCTCACATCGCTCCTGATTGAGGATCACATCAGGCCCAGCTGGGCAGGGAGCCAGGCAAGTCACAGTGATACTGAGCAAAATGCGATCCTCAGTGATTCACAGGGCCCTTCAGAACATCATGGTGCGTCTAGGTCTCCATGACAACACTGAAGGACCTTCTGTTCAGACATTTAGCAAAGCCACTGAGAGAGAGGGGGGTGGTTCTGGTTAACTGAGGCCGGGTGCATAGCATGTCCCTGCCAGTGACTGGATCGGAGGGCCGTGGAGGGCATTCCTCAACTCCTAGGGGCTCAAGACCTTTTCAGACCTGAGTCTCATGTGGAGCGAGAGTCTGAAACTGGGAGAGTTAGGCCTCTTTCTAGTTCTCTGACCTCAGGGAGAACATTCATTCTAATGAGCTACTTGGTCCATAAAATGGGGATAATCCATGCCAGCTGCCAAGTCCCAGTGCTGACGCTGTGGAAGTTGAATGTTATGTCTCTAAAGGGCTTGGTTGCCTATAAAGTGAGTGTCTAGCCCCAGGTGGTATTGCCTTATTAAATGCTGAGGAAGAAGTGGCAAAAGTGGCCACCAGGGTCTTTTTGTCACGTGAGAATGGTGAGCAGTGTAAGGTCCCAGCCATAGCTGAAATGTGTGAACCCACTTCGTTCTGGGCATCGCTTCCATGTTGCCTTTCAGCTATGACTGGGTGGGCATCCTCTCCACAGCATCTTTGCTGTGGGATCATATTTCTTCATCTGTGAAATGGGGTTGGTTAGTGGTAAGGGATCACATTGCCAACCCAAAGGTACAGGGTTCAAATCCACCACTTGCTCTGCGGGAGACAGATGGACAGTCTCCTACCATGTGATTAACTGCCTCTTAAGATTCACTGAAGGGTCAGCTACGTGTCTGTTCCAACACAGTGGTACACAATAATAACAATAATAGCACATGCTTTGTGGACTTGTGAATATGCATTAATGTTCTGAAGCCCTTTGCCAGAGAGGGTTCTTAGTGGTGCTGACTGTGGTGGCACCCTTCCTGCCTCCTAATCGAGCCTCAGTTTCCCTAAACAGCGCTCTTCTCTGCTCTGTGCTGGCAGGTCCGTGCTCTGTTTGCCTGGGAGAAGCAGCCGCTGCCCAGCGAGATGTCCCGGCATCACAGCCGCTTCGAACGAGATTACCGGGTGGGCTGGGACCGCCGAGAGTGGAGCGCCAACGGCACACATGGCACCACCAGCATCTGTAGCGCCACCGCCGGTGCCGGCGGGGCCACCGTCAGCAGCCTCAGTGCCCGGCCCGGCCTCCTGCCACTGCCCGTCGTGCCCTCCCGGCTGCCCACGCCAGCCACAGCTCCTGCTCCCTGCACCACCGGCAGCAGTGAGGCCATCACCAGCCTTGTGGCCAGCTCTGCCTCCGCTGTCACCACCAAGGTAAGTACAGGTGTCCCTTGAGGCCTCCCAGTGTCCCATCATGGGGCTCCACAGGGCCCCTGCTCACTGAGCTCCAATCTCCAGAATGCAGCTGCCCTGGAGCTGGGCCTGGGAACCGGGTCTCAGGGTCAACCTGGGCTACAGTTAGGATTATGTTTTCTTCTCCAACTCTCTTATTGTGACAAACTTCAGCCCATCAGGCCCGTGCTGTATCAGCCCCACCAGGCAGTGGAGGGCGGGCGCTGAGGCATGGGAGCTCAGAGGAACCCGTTGCTGGGCTCCCTTCTATAGGGTGCCCAGTGATCAGCTGTGTGGGCTTCTGACCCCATCCCCTGGGCACAAGGGCCCTGCCCTGAACGAACTATGGAGAGCAGTGTGGCCAGACTCAGTCCCCAAGAAAGGGGACCAGGCCATCCCACAGAAATCTCCCTGGCCCCACACTCCCTCCTGGGCCCAGCAGGGGCTTCACAGGTCCCCTTGTGGCCCCCCAGGAGTCCTCCCAGTGCTGATGTGTACACTTGCCCAGGGTTTGTCTTCACTTTGCTGCTTTTATAAACATCGCTGGGCAAGTTAAAGGCAGGGGAGCCCTGGCCCTGGCCATTGTGAGGTGTCTGTGGTGTTCCAAAGCCGCACTCCAGGTGTGCTGCCGCCTTTGTCTCTGTGATTTTCAAAACTCGCTTTCAGCCCCGTTTCCCATTAATAACCGCTGAGTTCTGCCAGCAGCAGAGCCCGGTGGATGCCCAGCACAATGGAGCTATTCGGGGCCAACTTGGGGCGCCCTGACATCTTGCTGCAGCGCCTTATTGATTTTATTTTCCTGTTAGGAAAACAACACCCCACTGAGGCGGGAAGGGAAGGAATGTTGGATGAGGGAGAGGAGCTGGGGAGTTATTTGGGCAACCTGCTCCCCTCCCAGACTCGCCAAACACATTCTTCGACCGGAAGCCAGCCCCCCAGGACGGCTCCAGATGTGCGACCTCTCTGCCCAATGGAGCCAGCCGGCTGGCTCTGCTGCCCACATCTGGCAGCACTCAGCAAGGCCAGCTGTTGGCCATATGGAGAATGGCAGCTTCTCAATCTGACTGCCGGAGGCGGCGGGTGGGAGGGGGAGGCTGGGCCTGGGAGGCTCACTTGATGGTGTCTTTCCTCTCAAGGATGGATGCCTTGTTAGTGTTGGTACCACTGCTCCTGGAACTGGGGACTCGGTTCTGCCAAGGCCGGGGCGGGACGGGGGACAGAAGGAATTTGGCACTGCTGGCCCCTCCCTCAGGGCAGCCCTGCCCACGGAGCTGCTCTGCTCCAGGGCGGCTCAGTACTCATTCTCTCCCATTGGCCAAGCCCCAAACCACATCGGAAGGAACCCAGCTCAAATAGAAAACAACAGCTGTGGCAAGGGCTGGGCTGCGTGGCAGGGACGGGATGAGGAGAAAGTTCAAGCCTGTGAGGGCAGCCAACTCTTGGGCACGTGACTTAGAGACTGAATTCCATTTCCCCTCTGTAACTGCAAGGACTTGTTGAAGGCAACAAGGTGTCTGCTTTCACCCTAGATTCTTCCACTACTGGGAGCACTTGGGTGCACAGGGCGAGGGGAGGACAACAGCCACGGCAGCTTCCTTCAAGGTGCCCCCAGTCAGCTCCCCTGTGTGTTTCAGAGTAGAATTGTGCTCCATAGGGAGTTGTGAACTTTCAGAACGAGATCGCCAGGCCTTTATTCTGAGGTGCCTCTGCATGAACTCTGTCCTCCCGTCTGTCAGATGGCAACTGAGCACATTAACAATTTACATTCCAGTTGTTGTTGTTGTTATGTGCCATAGAATCACCTGTGACTCATAGCAACCCTATGCTCTGAACCCTGCTCTATCCTGAGCCAATCTCACAATCACTCATACACTTACCCCCATTACTCCAGTTACTCTGTCAATCCATTTCATCCAGGGTCTTCCTCGCCTGCGCTGTTGCTCCACCCTTCCCAGCATGGTGTCCTTCTCCAAGGACCAGTCCCTCCTGGAAACATGCCCAAAGTATGTGAGATGGAGCTTCAAAATCCTTGCCTCTAAGGAGCAGCCTGGTTTAACCCTCTCAAGAATGAACCAGTTTGTTCTCTTGGCAGTTCATAGTCTGTTCAATTTCCTTCTCCAGCACCGGGACTCAAAGGCATCAGTTTTTCTTCTGTCATTTTGGTCATTGTCCAGCTCTCTGATGCATAGCAAGTAATTATGAAGACCAAGTCATGGATCAAGCACACCTTAGTCTCTAGACTGACATTGTTGCTCTTCAGCACTGTGGCGAGGTCCCTGACAGAAGATTTTCCTAATGCAATTCGTGTTTTTATTTCCTGACTGCTGGTGCCAGGAGTGTTGCTTGTGGAACCTAGCAAGTTGAAATTGTTAACAATCTCAATCACTTCTCCATCTATAATGGTGCTGCCAATTGGCTCTTGATGTTCTTGATGTTGAGCATTTTCTTAATGTTGAGCATTCCATTTAGGTACATTATTAAATTGGGACAACAATGCCTTTTGTCATTCTGGTGTAGCTACTGCCCACATAGATGCCTACTTGTATGACCCCCTGTTAGTACCACATCAGCTGATACTGTCACTGCTTTCAAACAGGTTTTGACGCCCAGGGACCTCCCATCATCAGCTTCTGAGGGCGTAATCCTTATGGGAAGAGACTTGCCGTCTTTCTCCCATGGAGCAGCTGGTGGGTTCCAGCTGCAGACTTTCCTGTTAGTAGGCTGAGATGTTACACACGATGCCACCAGGGCTCTTTCCTCAATTGATAAGCAGGCCCAAACTGTGGTATCTGTGAATTTTCTGATCAAAACACAAGGTATTTATGGAGTAGCTGAGGTCTGACTCTTGCCCTTGGGAGATCATGGTCAGTGTTTAATGATCTGTGGCCAGACCGTGTGATTCAATGGCCCAAGAATGCCTCCCCTAGTGGAGTTATTGGCAAAGGCAGCTTAATGATGTGGATAAAATAAAGCAAGATGTTGAAACCAGACTGTGTAGATTTGAACCCAACTCTGACCCTTGTTAAGGAGTTCTGGTAGCCTAGTGGTAGTAAGCTGAACTGCAACCCTAAAGGCACACAGTTGGAATCCACCATCTGCTCCACAGGAGAAGGATGGACAGTCTCTTCTCATGCCATTTACTGCCTCTGAAAACCCACTGGAGGGTCAGCTATGGGTCAGTTCCAGCTTCACAGCACACAACAACAACAACTGACATATTGTTAGATGGAAAAATAAAAACCAGAACTCACCTTCCTCCTGTGAGTAAATGGTAGTGCCTGCTTGTTAGAGTTGACGTGAGGACTGTCCGAGGTAACACACAGAAAAGAGTTCAGGACAGAACAGTTTGGCACATGCTCGTCCTTTATCGGAGCTGTCATCACCAACGTCATCTTTGTGGCTGCTGTCTTGGTGAGGTCAATGGGGCAAGGCCGTGCCCTGTAAGGAAAGTTATTCATTGCTAACCTCATTGAGGGGACAAGTCCTCAGATGACCAACATGAACCTGGCCTTGAGCAGGTGGGGCTGGGGGAAAAATTGTGTTTTGGAGTGGTTGGAGCCAAAAGTGAGTAGCCATGTGAAGTAGGTAAGAATTGGGGGTGCGAGGGGGGCACCAGGTAGGTCCTTCCTGAACAAGAGTCAGCACTATTGTGGAAGCCAGATGATCAATTAAAGGGATGTATAAAACATTTCTCCATTAGGAGCCCTTTCCTTAAGGAAAATCCACAATGTAAAGAGAGCAGGATTCCACGCTGGGTGAAGGTAGGTGAGTGAGAGAACCAAAGAGGAGCTAAGAGCAGACTAGTGTGATCCTCTGTGTGCTGTGCCTGCTGCCCCTGAGTGTAGCAAAGGCTGCTGGGATATGTTGGCCTGGCTTCTTCAGTGAAGGGTCTAGTGCCACACTGGGCTAGAGCCACCCTGAGGATTCAGAGGAAGGTCCCTCCGTCAAGGTAACTCTGAGGCTAAGTGTCAATATCATCAGACCTTCATGTTTCCTCTTGACCAGGCAGGGAGCAGGGCCTACGTCACCCACTCTGGGAGCCGGAGCATGCCTGCGACTCTTGAGGACCCGCATCCCATGTCATCACCATCAGGGCAGAGAAGCCTGTCCTCCCAGCTCTGTGAGCCTGCGGCCAGGTCCCCTGTAGTGCTGGGATCTACCTTCTGCCCAGCCATGTGGAGATGCTGCTAGTGCTCTGGGGTAGCAGCCTGCCTGTGCTCCCAGCAGCTGGTTTAGAGGTTTAGTGAGGTGATGACGATTCTTTCTGTCACTGGTGCCTTCAGGCTTGAGTTGATTTTTTTGTTTGTTTTTTTCATTGCCTGTGGCGTGCAGAGTTTTTGCATGTTTTTTATGAAAAGCTAGTTGGACAAGCACGGACTCCTAGGCCATTCAGACACACATACATGCTCACATGCAAGTGCACTTATACATACACACATACACATTCTTCTTCCAAGGAGTCTGGATCAGCTTGTAGACCAGCCCCCTCCACCCAGGACACAAATTCCCACAGCCCAGAGGAGCAGAGAGACTGCGCCGTCCAGCCTCTTCATTTTGTAGGTCAGGATAGCGAGGAGGTCCAGAAAAAGAAAGCGACTTGCCCGAGGTCACCTAGTGAGCTAGAAACAGAAGCAGCCTGGACCCGCTCCTTTCTCCACCCCACGCTGCTGCCTGGCATAATGCATTCACCATGGCAACCATCATTGTAGCATCATTACAGTAACTTCTCCCATCCTCTCATCCAACTAGCTGACAGCAAAAAAAACCTGCATTTCAAGGAAGAAAGTAGGCACATTTACCTCTTGTCTTATATAGAGTGGAGAGCATAGACTAAAGATCATGGAGACAGAAAACCGCACACCTCATAAGAGCTTGGACTCTTGAGTTAGCACATCTGAGTTTGAATCCCAGCTGGGCCTCTTGCAAATGAAGTATACCTCTGAGCTTCCAATTTTCTTTCTTTCTTTTTTCTTTTTTTTTGT